GGAAAAGTTAATTTATTTCAGTAATTCAACTCAAATTGTGAAACTCGTGTATTAAATAAATTCAATGCACACAGACTGAAGTAGTTTTAAGTCTTTGTTTTTTTTAATTGTGATGATTTTAGCTCACATTTAACAAAAACCCACCAATTTCAATCTCAACAACTTAGAATACTTCATAAGACCAATAAAAAACATTTTTAGTGATGTAAGGAATTTTAACTCAGTTGTAAGGGAATTAATTATTATTATTGATTCAGGTTTTGATAGGACTCGGATTTGCAGAGCCTAATTTAGCCTGAGTCGAATTGCTTCTAAATTTGATAGTTTACACTCTATCAGCTACTCGGCCAGCGAGAAGTTGATGTCAGTGTATATTACCAATTGAATATGTAATTTTTGTATTCTCCCTGGCCACGGGTGAAATACAATTATGATAATTTGTCAGCTCTTAAGAGAGGTAATTATTATGAGTAAGCTACGAGCTAGGTAGCAAGCAAGGATCTTTTGGCAATAGATTTGACCTTGAAATTATATGACACCAGACAATCGATTATTTATAAATGAAACATGAAATTTATTGGCTATTCTAGATTACATAAACTTAAGCTAAAACACGCATACAGTTTCAGAAATTCTGTTAACGGAGTTCTGAGTTTCATAGTTCTACCTCGTTTTCACGAGTGATGTAAATTCACCTTAAGAATTCCCAAAGCAGAGAATCTAAATTCACCAGTTCAACAGATCGAAGATCTTGTGTGTACTTGCGTTTTGCTGATTGACAGCTGGAAAGCTGAGGTGATTCCTTCGCTGACGCGGGCTTCCTGGATGTTTTGAGGGAACCCCGTTACTGATTGGTCGGTGACGTCGGAATGACGTCCTTTGGGAAACCCCTCGTTGGTCTGTGATGAAGCAGAGGCGTGAGCAGTTCTGCTGAAAGTCTTAGTTTGCACGACTTTCAGTTCTTTGAAGATTTCAGCAAAGTATCACTGAAGTGTTTGAGTTTGAGATGTGGTAGTCGCTTTTGATGGCAAACGCATGATTTCAATGATTAGCAACGATTGTCAAAGAAATCTTGTCTCTTTCCTTTGGAATGCAGGGGGAAAAAGGAAAGGTCCTTCGGTCATTCTCAGGTCAGATCTGAGAGTCTGCTGGAGAATCTCCTGCTGGACAGGGAGCTATAAAATTGTCTCTTTTGTTGATCGGATTTTAGCAATTTATGCGTCAAATGGTCAGGGGTATCCCTATCTGGTCCTTGAAAGCCCGTAAAACGCTTTTTTCATAAACCCGTCTTTTTAGGCAAGGACCAGACATGCGTGTCATGTTGGCTAAAAAATTTTTTTAATAGGACTGAATTTGTATTTAACGTAATTACAGGTGCTCCCAAATATGATCTTAATAAAAACGTAAGATATTGATAATTAGGCTATATAACATTTCCTTTCCACGGTTATTCAAACAGCGAATAAATTATATATAGAAAGTGACGTTATCACTAACATTGATCTATCGAGAATTTAAGCAGTAAGCACTCTCAAAAAAACAAAACTATCGTTATCACTGAAACTGTATACACTGTGAAATGAATCTCTTACATTGTACGTCCATCTGCGCTTTGTTTATGATGAAAGAATTCGCAAGAGTCTGGAATTCAGTCAGCGAACATGCACGCACTCAACAAAACTGATGAGTTTGAATGATGACTCATCTGAACACCTCTGATTGGCCATTGCATTCCTAAGCTCAACAGAATTGTGATTGGTTAAAATGTGCAACACTGTAAAAACGCCTGAAATGAAATACGGTGCAACATGAGCAGATATTAATTTAATGTCGCAATCGACACTGTCTATTCATATTCACTTTGTTAGCAACAGACGTAATAGATTTTATTAGTTTGTGCATTTTTGTCCAATTTAGTGGCATTTGTGGCCTATGATGACAGAATTATCGATTTGAGGTGGACTATCTTTTTAAATTGTCGCAGGTGACTGATTTGGATTTTTGTACATGGGCAGCAACGTCATGTATTATGCAAATAGCACTTCTTATGCACATGGAAGACAATTGAGTTCATAAGTTGCCTAATAGCATGTTGCTTAACTAGCACTGCAATATTCTAGGCATAAAGATACATTGTATTAATTAAACTTTTTATTAATTTCATTTTGCTTTTTGATTGTGGAATAAAACAATTTTTTTTAATTTATTGTGATATGCTATTATATTTCTTATAATATTATATGCTATTTTATTTTTTTTATTTAAATTTGCTTATTTGCAAGCAAATTTATCTCGGTTCAAACACCACATTAAATTAATTTTTTTTCACTGAGCTTCATCACATTGCATTTCAAATTAAATTCATAATGAAGGATATCATTTTGCCAAAACCAGTTATCTTTGATATATTACTGGCACACTTATGGTGTAATGCTACCTTAATAGGCAGCACACTAGGTTTTTGAACAGAGCCACACATTGATCCGCTCACATCAAAACAACATGGAACATATCCACATACTCACACATGTGGATCCTCTATGACAGGTTGCTGAAGGCAATGGGATGGCAAGAATACCCAGAAAATGATGACAACTTCCAGCCCCTCACCGAGGATGAACTCAAAGAGTTTCAAGCTAAAACTGAACAGGTATGGAACATATATACATTGTTTGTTTGTTTGTTTATTCTTTGTCTAAATTGAAGTGCATCCTGCACGCAGTTCATTTCCGTTGTGCCTGACTATATGTGTGTTTGCTCTCAGATGAAGAAGATTGGTCTGGGACGTAACGGTGTGCTCTTGAAGCCACGTAGTGTGACCCTGCTAACCTGGAGGAACGCCCCCAACCCTGGCCTGGAAGAGTGCTCCGAGTCTGAGACGAGCAGTAGCAGCCAGACCTCCGATGATGATGATACCTAATGTGGCTTTAAACACCCCTCCTACATTTCCCTTTCTCTCTTTCACTTAATCTGTCTCCTCCATCACACCCATTTGTTTCAAACTAAAAGAAGAAGAGATTCTTTTCATGGACAAGGAACATCGGTCATATCCCAGGCGGAGAGAAAAGGAATTCACTTGTCAGCTCGTAGGCAGTGTCTTTTTGTTTGATTTTGTTTTTTTCCCCCTATGTCTCCTTGTCTGCATTTTGTTCTTTATCCTGAACTAGAAATGTCAAAGAAAGCCACACAACACCCTCCACCAGATCTTTTTTGTTTTTGCTTGGGGGAAAAAAAAGACTAATTCATAATAATAACACCAATTATAACCGTGATTTAACATGAAATATGGCATCATCTGAATGTTCTGTAAAATGGCTTTGACACCTTTCTAAAAAATTTTTTGTTTGTTTTCCTTTTTGCGAAAAACAATTCGTAGCATTAGTGTTAAGATGAAACAATCATTCTCAATCTTCCCAGTCCCTCATAGAAATGAGCTCAAGCCAGTCATCCCTGCAGCAAGGAAGAACTAAAGCAGCACTGAATGGACTGTCACATGCAATCTGGCAGCTAGAACATCAGTCCATTTCTGGCTCCAGTTCCAGCAAACTGCTCATTTTCACTCTTTTCATTCTGCTGAACCATGCTAATATACCGGATTTCATATGTCTGCCAAGTACACACGTGAGAAAACCTTTAAAGGATGTTTAAAAGTTGAAACCTAGGTTGCGGAAGAGTTTGTCGGGAACTGGTTTTTGAATAAAGGTAAGGTTTGGATGGAAGGGTCTATGTTTTATATGCTGCGTTCTGGGAAGCTTGGCGAACATACAGATGTTCAGTTCACTTACGTTGGGTTCCGTTTAGGAAAAATTGAAGTTAAAAAAAAAATCATAAACAGACAGTTTTCTTTCTTGCCCATATATATGGTATAAAAAAAAAATTCCCCCCTTAACCTAAAAGCTGTTTGATTTAAACCATATTGAGAGTTACTCTATTGAAAGCATTTTAATGCTTACAGAAATAATGCTGTGGCAATCATTTTCAATAGCTTTACATTCATTGCATGTAGATTGATAAGGGGTATTCAATAAACACAAGAAAGGTCTGATGAACTTATTCCCTCACAAAACCCTAATAAAATCTACCCAATGGAATAGAAAGCATTAAACATTAATGGGCTTATGTAATGTTTACAATGCAGGGATTGGTCTGAGCTGTCTATGATTTGTAATGACTCTGAACTTTGAGCGATTTGGTAAGATGGCTTGCACGCTTTGTTCTGTTTTGTTGTTCTTTAAACAGTTTCGTTTGGGCGCCAAGTTCTATCCCTGCTGCTGGCAGTGAAGTTGAGATCCATCTTTAAAAGTTCTTTGTTTCATGAGGGACTGCTGGTGTAAATTGTGCATCTCCTTTTTTTGTACCTTGTTTCTGCTGATGGGGTATAAAAATTGCTTTATCGCAGATTTAAGTTTTTTTTTTAATTTTGGTACAGCTGTAAAAATTCCCACATGGTGGTTGTTTTTTTTTTTGTTCTTTTGTTTGCATTATATTGTTTCTGCAGCCTTGATATTCAGGGTGGATTGTAAAAAATATAAGAATAAAAAATTGTGAGTTTTGGAGGATTAAGATTATTTTGATAACATTATTTACAGATTTGAGAAGATAAAAGGTGTCATGTATGGGCTTATCTGTATGAGACGAAGCAGACATAAACTACTGCATCATAATGAAAAGATCGGAGAAAAAAATTGTAATAAATATTTTGCATCAGTTTGCCAAACATGTCCAGCCTTTGGTTTTCTGCTGAAACACTTGGGGGAAACATTCTTCATGTTTTAGGAGGGCAAATGGTAATGTTCAAAATATGCATGCAAAGGATAAAAATAATAAGCATTTAAACATTGAAGGGTTGGATTCTTCTTGCTCTAATCTCATCCATTCTTCACCACTCCCTTTTTCCAAGGTAACCAACAAACAAAACTTCAGTTAACAAATCCACAACGTAAATGTTAAGCCAGACATTCTAACAAAAAGTATATTCCTATTTTTTAAGAATCAGTCTAAATTCTACAGAGTACTTGCTGGAGAGATGGAAGGTTTGGGGGTGTTAATTTGTCGAAACTGTAAGATGGCATTCTGTTCTACTGCACTCTTGGATAAACACAAGGCCAAATTCTGCATTGGCACAGACCTAAAAGACCCACTCGCTCTGTGGAGACAAAGTGGATTCATGCAAACGGAGAAAGCAGCTGTGAAGATGGTGCACCCTACACCTGATTTAATGAGTGTAAGTAGTTGAATGCTATTTAATTATTCCAAAAAACTCCAGTTGAACAATGTTTTAATAAAATATTTTGTGTATTATAAACATTGAATAAACAGTTCTGTCTTCCTTATACATTACCATTCAAAAGTTTGGGGTCAGTAAGATATTTCTGAAGGAAATTCATATTTTTATTTAGCAAGGATGAATTTGACCAAAAGTGACAGTAAAGATTTTTCTTACAAAAAATTCAAATTTAAATAATTGTTTAAATTTCTATTCATAGAAGAATCCTGAAAAAAAATTATGGTTTCCACAAAAAAAAAAATGCAGCACAAAGGCTTTTCAACACTGATCATATTAAGAAATGTTTTAAACAAATACCAGCATATTAGAAAGATTTCTGGATGATCATGTGGCAGTAAAGACTGGAGTAATGGCTGCTGAAAATTCAGCTTTGCCATCACAGGATAAATTAAACAGATTCAAACTGTTCTTTTAAGTTGTAATATTTTACCATTTTATTTATGTATTTGATCAAATATTGATGTTTGGTTCAAGATGGGGGGAAAAACATACCTACCCAAAACGTTTGATTGGTGATCAAATACTGTAATGTTTCCATTGGCCAGCTGAAGGAAAAGACAGATCATCAAATGGATGAGAAAGAGAGTGCACAGGACAATGTGTCAGAGAATACTGCTCTAAACAAACTCACTGAGGAGGTACAAGACCACATACAAAGACAATAAATCTGGTTCAAAGTGTTTTTTATGCTGCATCTGATTATCTTCTATTATAGTTTCAAAAACTCAGGATGTCGTTTGAACCAAACCTGCCCAGAAGACAGCAAGAGGTCGGTTTGATATAGGCTATAGTTCTAAAAATCGGTTTATAATGTCAATATTGTGTTTGCACCTGTGGTTATTATGTGTTTTGGACACTGGGTACACTCTTAAAAATAAAGGTGCTTCAAAAGGTTCTTCAAGCGATGCCATAGAAGAACCATTTTTGGTTCCACAAAGAACCATTCAGTCAAAGGTTCTTTAAAGAACTATCTCTTTCTTACCTTTTTATAATCTGAAGAACCTTCTTTCGCCACAAAGAACCTTTTGTGAAACAGAAAGGTTCTTCAGATGTTAAAGGTTCTTTATGGAACATTTAGACAAAAAGGTTCTTCTATGGCATCGCGAAGCACCTTTATTTTTAAGAGTGTAAGTGTTCTTCCAGCAGAGAGCTGATGAGCAAAGGGCTCTTCATGAGCAGAGACTGGCTGAGATCAGAGCACACAACAACCAGCTGGAGAAGCAGAGAGAGGGTAAGCTCTTTGGATATATTCACAATTAGTAAAAATAAAAAATATATAGAGAGAGTTATTTATTTATTTATTTTTGGAATGTATAAAACAGTTTTCAACTTCTAGCATTTCTATACTGTAGAACGAATCAAAAAGATTTTGTGAAGTAGTAAATAAAACAAATATTTGAGTGTTTTACAAAAAAAAATACAATTTCAGTTTTTTTACCTTAGAATTTCACTTGTATCAATTTTGCCCTTGTTTTTCTTTTCCCCAAACATTTGTGTATTTATTTACTTGTCCAAAGGAAAAAAGTGATAGAAAAATGTGGTAAAAAAACACTTGTGCATCATTTTCAATAAAGCTGTATTTTTTATTAATTATGCAAAAATGAGTATTTAGCATACTTAAAATGCGAGAAATTATTTAGCAAAATTTTATTCCAAAAATGTTTTAAATGTCATTTCCAGAAAAGAATGTTATTAAACACATCATCATTTGAGAAACAAATAACAATTCACTTACCAACTGCAAACTCGTGCTGTGATTTTTTGAAGCACAAGTACTGGACATGTTCATGTGAATTTCTTCTAAACTATTTTTTAATGATGTGTTTATTCCAGAAATAGAAGAGCGGCTTGCCGAGCTGGCAGGATGGGAGAGGACGGCTCATCTTGAAGAAGTGCTGCAAGAACTGAGGTATCAGGAACAGAGAAACGAGGAGGTTCTGCATCAGCTCAGCTCTCACATCAACTCAATGAAAGGGTAAGAGAGTGGAGGGAAACAGGAAGTGTGCAGAGAAGCTATAAATCACTTGATGCATGTTTATACTGTACTGATGTTGTAGGCCCAGTTCAAATGAAGTCCCCTCTAACCCACCAGAGAGAAAGAAGACACAACATGTTGCTTTTGACTTGATCGCTTCTGTGGATGGACCTCTCTCTGCTCAGATAAGGTTGGTCTTTTTAACTTACGTTTTATGCCAGAATGATAAAAGATTTGAGGGGGGAAAAAATCAACAACAATGTGTACTTATACATTAAAGGAGGTATGCAAATGCAATAATATTAAGTCTTAGGGATTGTCTCTTTTGACTGGGACCAGTTAAGAACTGCCTAGAATCCACCTAATAACCCCAAAACTACTGCCTAGGAGTCACCCAGGATACTCTGAGCAACCATTTAGTGACACCTTAGCAACCATCCAGAACACTCTAGCTCTGTGGTGCATTTGTTTTTGTAACAGAGCTTTGCGTCTGGCATACATGCAGTCTGGTGGTTCTGATCCAGAGGTTCTGGCCAATATGCATGACCTTCAAGCAGAGGCTCTTACACTGGAGCAGGCAAAACATATAGCTGAAGGCAAGACAAAAGGAAGACGTGAGTGGTACCATCATTGAGCTGTGGCTGCAAATAGCATTTGGACACTTAAAATGCCATTCAAAAATTTGGGGTCAGTAAGATTGATTGATTGATTTTGATATTTATTCATTTAGTAAATAATAATTTTCTCAGCAAGGGTTTATTAAATTGATCAAAAGTGACAGTAAAGATTTAAGTTGGGATAAAAAAAATGTTTCAAATAAATGCTTTCCATTCATCAAAGAATCCTGAAAAAAGCAGCAAAACATTGATAATAATAAATATCTCTTGAGCACCAAATCAGCATATAATATTATTTTTTGAAAGATCATTTGACACTGAAGACTGGAGTAATGGCTGCTGAAAATTCAGCATTGAATCACTGCAATAAATTACATTTTTAAATATATTTATTAAAACAGAAAACAGTTATATTACAGTTTTTTTTAATTGCTTAGACACTAAAAGTGATACTTGAGGCTCACTTAGTGGAACCATTCACTTATAGACCTTTAGACCAAGACTGCAAAACTATAAGCACATTGCATGCTTTAAACTCAGTTTGATATTGTAAAACAAACATATTGCAAAACTCTAAACAGATCTCTACATTACACACATTATTTGAAACTAACAGCTCTTTTGTTTAATTTGGGAAAACACTAATACATCATTTGTTCACTTAGTAATGAAAAGTAGTTTTTTAGAAAGAAATTATTTTTACTCCCTTGCTTTTCTGTTTACACTGTATCTATATTGTACAAAGCGCATTATAAATAAAGCTGATTTATCAATCTATCTATACTGAACATGCATACAAGCCAAGTCAGAAAGTCAACTTCATTTCTAAAGTGCTTTATACAATATAGATTGTTTCACAGCAGCTTCACAATGGTATCAAATTCACATTTTGCTGTAAAGCAGCTCTAACAAGTCAATAGTGTCATTCTACGGCTCAAGTCAGTTGAGCATTGATTCAGTTCAGTTGCGTAACTGTGTAAAATTCATCAGTCATACATACTGTATACACAGTATGTGCATATGCATGTACAGTATGTGAGAATGCTATGACAAACTCCTGTGCACTCCGCTGCTCTCTGAACAAGCAAAAGACACACGAGAGTAGTATTTTACATGTTTCACATGCGTGTGGTTTGGCATGTATGTGGCTAATTATTTTATGTTTGTGTGTGGAGTTACTATGCAAATATACAATTTTTAGAAGAGATTAAAGAGTGTTTGCTTTTGCAAGATGTGTGTGACGTTTTGTATGTTGTGTGTGTGTGTTTTGTTGTTTTATGTGTAAAGTTTTGAGAAATGGAGCCATAGTTTCAAAAACTGTGAGCATTTTGAAAAAAAACTGTAAAATGTAATAATATTACTGTATTTATTTTAGTGTATTTCTTTTAATAATATTGCAGTTTTTACTGTATTTGATCACATAAATGCATCGTTGGTAGACATTGACTTCTTTCAAAAACATCAAAATTCTTACCCCAAACTTTTGAATGACGATGTTGGTTTGTCACTACTTACGTTGTTTGTCAACTGGAAGATGTCCAAATAGTCTTAATTTTGAACAATGTGTTATATTTTAATCCTATGACATTCAAACATTTTGAAGTATTGCCTAAGTGCCTAATAATTTCTGTGGTCATTGTGCACTATTCTTTCAAGCCCCAGGGTCATATCTTGTTTCTGTCCCACCAGGGATGAAGTCTCCTCACAGACTGCTGGACCCTGATGTTCTTGCTGTGGAGCAGGAGAACCAAAGGCTTGAGGAGGAAATCTTCAGAATCCAGCAGGCCAGGGAGAAGAACAAAGGAGAGCACGGTATTGCTGTTTCTCTCAGATCTTATATCTTGAGACTCAATGACAAAGTGATGTTCAACATTTGTTCTGTCTCTAATTTGCATGCTTATACTATTCACTAAAGGCATAATATTTGATGTTATTATAGAATATTTCTGTATGTTAGGCTATTTGAATATTTGAATGAATATTTTCTGGATCAGGGCTTATTGATATCCAGAAAGACCACATCCATCAAATGGCTAGCCTTCAAGCCGAGATCGCCTTTTTAAGGAGAGAAATAGAGAAGGGCAGAGAGAGAAGACCACACCATCCTCAAGCTCCTCTGCCTGTTTTTCCTGGATCTTCTATGGCCATAATACACCCTGCTCTGCCACTGGTGAGCCAAAGCTTCAGTCATCTTAATGATGCAATCTGTTGAGTTAATGTGATTTTTAGGAATGCAGAAAATTCTCTTTGAGTGACAGTGATAGTGAGAATGATAACGAATGTATACGGTGTATATATTTAGTATTTACCAATATTGCCGATTCAGAGTTCAAAACAGCATTCATTAATGGGCTCCCATGTAACTGATCCGATGGCAGCTCTCGGTCCTGCTCCCGTGTGACACATTTTCACCTCGTCCTCTATTGATTCATTTTTATTTTTCTCATATAGTCCCTATAGATGCATGCACGTGTCACAGCATAAATGGGTACACCCCCTCTAAAACTTAACAAATTCAGCAATTACTCTTTACTTAGAAGACATGTTAGGGTTCTTTGGAGATGTAATGTTCAGGTCTTCATTTTAAGTTTTAATTTAGTGATGAGTGAATTTTTGCTAGAAAAAGAGCAGGAGAAATAACATGCAAGTGTCTCAGAGCCAGCAAAAGCTATGAAAAGAGTGACACTTTATCTCACAGAGTAAGATGCAGCATGCAGAAGTGACATGCATGGTTGTTGTCACCACTAAAGTTACCTACTGTAGCCAAAGCACAATAAACTCATTTAACCTCTTCCAGGGCCCATATTTACAAAATAGAGTATCATTTCGGATCTAACAGCATCCAAAATGTTCTGGTGTTGCTAGAGGAGGAGTACAGAGAGAGGTGCTTGGTACCCACAGTGACATTCAGTGGTAGTAAAGCTCTTTTATAGGGATGAATGAGTGCGAGTGTGAGAGAGTTGTGCTTTATCAATGCTGGCATGAATTCACACACCACTGTGTGATTTAATACAAAAACTTGAAATAGCAGATGCTACCCTCCCCTCATTCCCTGCATTATTGGGCATTTTTTTCAGCATGACAATGAATATATTAATTCTCCCAAGGTGAAAATCCTTCAGTGGACATGTATTTCACTCAATCTTAACACTCTTGAGCAGCTGTGGAGACGAGCAGAGCAAAACTCCCCATTAAAGATCAGAGCATTTAAGGAGGTCGTCCTCCAGATGTGAAAATTTGTCATGAACTTGTACACTCAGTGCCAAGAAGGGCCAGAGCAGTATACTTTAAGTTCTGGAGGACATACTAAGTACTAGAATATTATACATTTTCTGAATTAAATCTAGGGTGTACTCATTTCTGCAATCCTTCATTTAAACAAAATTGGCTCATTTACTTATCTTACAGAAAATATTGGCATATATTTAGTTTTTAAATATATGTTTAAATTTTGCCATCTTTCCATGAATTATATTAGTGATCATTAAGAAAATACATCTTTTATATTTATTCAGAGGGGGTGTACTCATTTATGCTGTGCACTGTAAATACATGAAAATATGACTCAAGTTCAGCTGTTGTCTGAATGTGTGTGTACAGGGCTGGCTTTGTGATCTTCTATGACCTGGTGATGGGTGTGATTGAAGATGCTTTGAGATCAGTGCGTTTATTGCCAGGGTTATAATTTAATGGACAGAAGTTGGGACAGACCACCCCAATGCCACCTGTGCAGCGCCAGCCTGCAGGACCATTACTGTTCACCAAGAGTCCTGGAAATGATGCCATACTGGCTGTTAAGCAACCTGTGCCAAGGTAGTTTGTTCAGAGATAGATATAGACACACAGAGCTGATATGTGTTCACGTTATTGAATTTGTGCCTTATTTCAGAGTACAGCCATCTCCAGCTTCCCTTCCGCTCTCTCCCAGTTCAAGCATCCTTAAATCCAGGTCAACCGAGTTCTGTGCCACAAGTACGTTCATCAAATACTAAGCTAAGTCTCAACTAGGTTAAATGTCCTATAGGAGTTAATTTAATTCAATCTAAATACTATTTTTCTTTCAAAGATGGGTAACATGGAACTTTGTCTTAGTGTAGCAAATGCTTGTGATGGTGATGTACAGACCCTTGAAAAGATTGACCCCAACAACACAAGTACACATCCCACGGTATGCAAAATATTTAAAGATATCAACCTCAATAGGCTTTTTAATAGCAAAGTCTGCAACACTTTTGATAAGCTTACAGCATTGAATTTGTCTTGTTTAGGTGGTCTCAAACACAATCCTGGCACACCAAGAACAATGTAATGCATTGCAACCCTCATCCAATCCATTACCTTCATCATTGCCACAGACAGATCATGTGGAAGAGACCAGTTAGAAGAAAATTGCATAATTTAACAAATTAGATTACCATGCAAATAAAGCCTTTGTAAAATTTAAACTTTTTTCAAGTGACTACATTAGTCTTACATCGGTTATGAACTATTTTAAGATACTAAATTACTTTTTACATTGCATGCAAGTTTTCTTGGGGCAACAAGTTTGTATTAAAACTTTATAATTGTAACACCAAATCAAAAACACTTGGAACATCTTACAACTAATATTATAGTCATTATTAACCCATCATGGGAATCCACAAGTTTTGGCCCATTGAATTTCTATGATTCCACTGGAGCGGTCTCGATTTGAAGCGGAGCATTCTTAAAACAAAAAAAAAAAAAAGGAAATATTGAACGCCACATTGACATATGCAAATATCCTTTATTGAAAGTTTACTACAATTATACAAAGAAAATGGGTTATTTACAAAACAAAGAGACAAAAGTGGTTCATGGAGAGTAGGTGAGGCAGGCATGCTCTGCTGGTTGGAAGGTAAGCGTTTAATCAAAAGATGCCCATCATGCTGACATCTCCACAGAAGAAGAACTGGCTGGCTGCAAGAGAAACATGAAAATATTAAAAAACAGCAATGAAACAAATTGTTTAAAAGGCTAAGCACTAAACTAATGCTTGACAAAACTCCAGATGCAATACTCCAACCAATTCCATTAGCTCAGCCAGTCAACCAATATTCAGATAAAGCAAACTTCCTCCAAGACAGGATTTTGCTAGTACGTGTAAAAACACATCCAGCCGAATCAGTCCTCTCAAGTTTAGTTTTCGAACCTTTTATTCAAACAAGGTTACACCTCCAATATTTTAGAATCCAATGAACCTCACAATTCTCAATAAAATCACAAAATTAACACTAGACTAATCAAATATAAAAAAAAAAAAAGTCTGTAACAAAATTAAAAGTTCAGATAAATAAAAGAAAATACAAAATTAAATTGACCAGTGCTTTAAGCTTCAGATAGGTCTAACAGTAGTATTCATTCAAAGAAATGGGCTACGACAGATCAAATCAATGTCAACTAAAACAATCTTCACTCTGACAAACAGGGTCCAAAACTAACTTTGCCACACCTGCCAATGGCCGGTGACATGATCAAATTTACCGGCCAAAATAGTTTTTACCGGCCATGAATCTTTTTGCAAATACAGGCAGTTATTACTACAATAACTAAACCGTTACAATGTTTGTCCTGCTGGTGCATTTTCCCTCAGTTTGACCAATTACAGCCATTCAACATTACAGTATAATTGAAAGCCCTTATTTTTTAACATTTAATAGGCTCTGAAATACATAACTTTTAATTTAAGTGATTAACACACACATATTTTTATACGCCATACATTAATCAAGCTATAAAAGTTAATCAGCGACTAGAACGGTCCATGGATTTCTTTTTCTTTGATTACATCAATGACAGACTTCACTTTAAATTCAGTGGGTCTCTTTAAAACCTGATGCATATGACGCGGATCTGACACGCATCCGATTTTCTCCCAACTCTTTACGGTCATTTAAGACTTTATAACTAATTTAAGACTACGTTTACAAGGTAACTCACCAAAACGGTGCATTTTCACAATTGTGTGCATAGCCGCGGGAACGTATTTTGAGCAGAGGGGCTGTGGGGAAAAGGGGGGGGGGGGGTCGAGTTTTCCCAGAAGCGAAGTTGTGTGCGCAACACACAGGCTTTGTCCTGTAGTCGGTGTTACAAGTAGTAAAACAAATAAAATCAGTTTAGATCAGCTGGACACGGGACGCTACAGTTCTGAGGCGCCGCGCGTCTGTTCCAAGCCGCAGGAGTCACGTGACGAGAGTGAAGCGAAACGACTGCTGGAGGATCCAAAAGCGCAAGAGAATCTTCGTTTAAAATAACCGAGGGCCATTGTACTACTTTATGACTGATCGGTTTTAAATCACAATGAACTACAAACTACGATATTTTTAAAAGGGGAAATTTTATAAACAATTGTCATTGTTAATAAAACTTCAGTTTAATATGTGAATTTCTTAATGATACTACGTCATTGTGGGCCTGTGTTTTTTTTTATTAATAATAATAATAATAATGAGCCACAAAGGGGAAAATACAGAGACTTTATTTTTATGTTACAACGCGGTTACACCAAGTCAGTTTAATCGTTTTGTTCAATTTTTATGTTTAATATAAGCTAAGCGACTTCATCATTGTACTATTTTATTGTTGATGTAACGTTTTATTTTATTATATATTGAATCAACCTTAAGCATTAGTTTTGATCCACGGAAAGAACGTTAAAGATCAAGATGCGAGAATGCGACAGTTGCTGCGGAGGTAAATGGACTCTCTCGCGCTTTCCGTTTCTTTGTAATAGCTGTAGACATGCTCGTTAATTCTTAATTTGGGTACAGACGTGTTATAGGGGGGAAAATATGATCAAAAAGTCATGGTAACAAATGTTTAAAAAAAAAATCAGTATATGATAAAAGTTTTAAACAACTTATACACAGTCAGACTGATTGGACTTAACTCATGTTTTACAGTGAGACCACAATAAAGAGCTTCTTAGAGTAGCCTACCATACTGACTGGATAATCAGGAAGAATTGTTAGAATTAATACTAAAACAAAATAAGATTAAAGCGTACGCCTACTGCTGGTTGGCTGCCCACTAGGCATAGGCTCCAGGTCTGCTTCCTCATCGCCAACTCAAGGCTCGGTCTCTCTTTTTATGTTTGGGCTTCGCGAAAAAAAATCAGGAATGCGTTTTCGCGCCATATTGACTGGTGTATTTTTAAATCTTCAATGACGGATGCGGACGTGGTGACGTCAGGGGACAATTGTTGCTTATTGTCCTTAAGCTTTTTTCCCCCATGACTTAAATGAATATTCACATTAATAAAAGTAATTCTCTTTTTTGTTACAAAATTAAAATGTATTTTTAACAGCGCACCCCCATTTTTTCTTTAGCTCCGAGCCAGGGGGTGCTGCAGGACCCCTACTTCCCGCGGTAATGATTGTGTGTTTTCGTGTTGAAGCGCTACTGGGGAGCTGTCTGAAGCGGCTTAGGGTACGTGTACAGCCCAATGCGCAGCTTTTCAAGCTATACTTCACTGCACCGCGTCACCGCATTCTCGGGTTATGAAGAACACAGAAGGGAAACGTTAATCTTCTAAAATGAAGCAGTAATATCTTCTCAGGTAAAAGTTATTAGAACCGTGTCTAGGGGCAAGCTGGCCATCACACTGCTCTGACCTTATCAGTCCGTTTGTATTCGATTCGCGCTTGTCACTTATGACAGAACATCACGATGATCTTGTCTTCGGACAAGATTATTTTATTCGCTCATGTCAAAAACAGCGAATCTCTTTAAAAACTGGCTGTTATTTTCACTTCATTGCATTATAATTCATAAAAGTTGTACCCGCCAACTGGCGACTGACAGTGTTACATATACTCGCCAACGCTGATTTTTACTTCATTTGGCACGTGTAAATTTTAGGCCAAAAAATATTCCAGATACTACAGAAAGTTATTCAGTCAAAAGCAGTGAGTGACTTTCCCTTTTGTTTGATTAACATTAACAACAGGAGGCATTTTAAGCTGCTGGCACTTTATGATCCAGTGTATAGATTAAATATACTGGCACATCAGACACACCATTGTGATGTCACAAATCCCAGAAATTATGCGTTGTAGTCCAAACGAGTCGTTCGTTGTAGGTTTTGAAAAGTATTCAAAAGTATATAAGAATTTCTGTTAAATAAAATCTCCTTTTGAAGTGGACTGAGCTTTGTAACTTGGCAGATCTTTATGCTCAAACAGCAACATTACAGACTAACTAAAGTTGAAAAAGTGAAGCATAATAGGACCCCTTTAAAAACCTAAATGACCGTTTACGTGAATACTTCCCAAAACAGACTGACAATTTGATGTATATTTGCACAAGATGCAAAAGAGAACTTGCACGCTTTGCTTGTGCGCGCGCACAGAAGAGCCAAACAATGCTCATATACAGAGCTAGTTTGCAGCTTCTTCTGTTGAAAATGACACTGCAGTGATAACGCAGACAACTGTCCCAAGCATCTTTTATGCTGGCATCGAACGGTCCTAATGGTTGAGCCCAGGGACTGTATTAAAGGAAACAGCAAGTCTATCAACTCGCCTCCTGCTCCATTTTCTCCTGGACTCCATTGCCGTTGTGGGCGGAGTCACCGCTGCCATTAACTGAGGTCTCCTGTTTAGTCTTTTTAGCATCACTGTCCTTTTTTGGACTCTCCTCGTCTGGTTTCCTCTGTGCAGGAATAAAGCAGGACAGAACACGTACTTATTTTTTGTGCTAAACACCTAGTAACTACATGCTACTCAAGCACACATGACCACTTCAACACCACGCCACAATTACAATATGCCAAGCCACAATATTGAAGCACAAACACCATAGAAGCACCAAGCAACACCAAACCTAATCTAGTTAGCAAATTCAGCTCATGACCCAGCATGCATAATTGACCTCAACTAAAGGGAAGGTAGCAATGCAGATGGCCCTTTATGGGCAGACTACCCTCATTCACTCCAGTTGTAGTGTACATGCTAGTCCCCCCCCCCCAAACCTTAAGTCTACTGCAAAGGTTAAATTAGACTTCAGTGGATAGATACTCACCTTTTTGCGAACAAGGTGAGAAATGTCCGATGCAGATTTTGAGGAAGACGCACCATCAGCTGGCCTCACAGGAATCTGAAATAAAACCGGCATTTTAGGGTGGCATAATACGTTATAGGCTTAAAGTACCCTTAAAGAGGAGAAATGCCCCTTAGAGCTTTCGAACATTCAAAATGATGGCCACACTTCAGGAAACGTTATGGCCCGTTTAAGAAATTGTAACAAAGTATCACCCATCTCTAATGTTAATCAAGGTAACATTAAGCATGCACACACACACACCTGACTAGCAGTAGATGAGGATGGGCCACCATTTTCAGCTGGGAACGCAGATGAAGTGGACGCTCCTGCCTATAACAAACAAATTCCAAACTATTCATCATTGCCTCTAAACATCTTCGTTGCATCCTGGATGACCCACATGCCCAACTGATCTCCACTTTTTTTTTTGTGTGTACTAAGAGCAATGCTAGGGATTGATGGCATAACAGTACCATATTCATTAAATGTATAACATAAGCTGATATCAGATTTGTCATCAACCACTGCAAAGCATTGAACAATGGATAACATGCTTCATGCATTTGCATTGCCCTAATGCAACCCACAAGAGTCTGATGGATGGCCTCAGATGCTGCAGCAGCAGTCCTCTGGCCCTCCTTGGCATCTTCAATCTTCTCAGTGATTTCTGGCAGTAACTGTTTCAACTCCTCAAGCTCGCTCTTCTCCTTTGCTGCCTCTGCACCTTCCGCCTTGTCGATTACCTCCTGAAGCATAGCTGGAGGAAAAGAGACATGGATATCAACTGAGAGTACCATGCTTGCTCATGGCAACTAGGTGTTATCCGCAAGCAAATTCTCAGTTAAAAATGCATGAGGACTGGCAAAACCCACTGTGAAAATGTTCCTACCAAGACGGCTCTCGATGACCTTGATAGAGTTGGAGAAGTGCTCAATGGCTTGGCTGTACTGGGCTGTGTAGCTGTAAGTTGTGCCCAGCTGGTAATGGGTCTCAGCCAGAAGACGACTATGAGAGGGAAGGTGTTTCAGCTGCAAGGTTAAACACTCATTGAAGTCATCCAGAGCCTGGCTGTAGTTACCTACATAAAAACAGAGAGACTAGTTAATAAAGAGTGAAAAAAAAAAATACTAATGAGGCAACTTCAATTTTACGGCAACTTGTAAAACCCAAAAAAGGTCCTTAAATTAAGTCATTTTCCATCTACGCCCACCACATACACACCTGATTCAGCTCCAACTTCTCCAAGTTTCAAGTAAATCTGTGCCGCCATTAGCTGATCTTCTTCGCGGTCTTTTCTTCAAACCAAATAAAAGATCATGTGGGTCTTTCAAAATGAAGCTTGCACAAGTCCACAATTAAAATAGGCATGTAATAAGGGCATACCTTTTATAAATCACCTTTGCAACCTCAAGCATCTCCCAGGCCAACTGCAGGTTTCCAACTTCATCCTCCTCACTCTCCTAATAGCACAAGGACACGAAGATAAACCAGTAAAATCAAATGACAAAAAAAAAAAAAAAACCTTTTACAATGGATAACAAACCTTATCCTTTGTTTCACCCTCTGAATCATCATCATCATCATCCTCATCGTCGTCATCTAAAACATAAAAGATGTTAACACACTGACATTGACCTAATGTGAAAACCCACCACCTTGGATACCCTTCGTGACACTGCAGCTTAAAAAGCTAAATACTCTATGAATTCACCAGTGCTTAGATTCACCAGGTGAAGTTTAGCAAAGTTATTTAATACACAAATCTTGTGCTCCCCAGACTCCACCATGCTTCACTACCTCCTCCACCCTCTTCCATGGGTTCTTCTTTCTCTTCATTTCCATTTTTCTCCTCAACCTTTTCATCTTTTTCAGCTACTCCATTTGACACGGTGACATCTTCCTTTATAGAAGCACTTTTATCCACACCTTCTGACTTTTCAGCAGGTTTCACCTCATGTTCAGCTTGTTTCTCCTCATCTTGAGCAGGTTTTGCTTCATGTTCAGCTAGGTTCTCGTTTTCAGCAGGTTTTGCCTCGTGTTCAGCTGGTTTCTCAGTTTTTTGTGATGCTGCATCCCCTTCCTTTGGTGCTTCAACCTTCTCCTGCTTCTCTTTAACTTCCTCTTGGTTCTTCTGCTCACCTTCCCCCACCTCTTTTTCTACCTCAGACTGAGTTTTGTCCTCTGACATGGCATCATAAACCTGTGCTCGAAGCTCATCTCTGGTTTTCTCTGCATCATAGTACAAATGGAGGGATATTTCTAGGTTACAGTTAATATATTCGGTGATATACGAGGTAAATATTTGAGCAAAGTTGCTTGAGCACTTTCACACTGAGAACCAATTTCTATCTGGATTCTTTAGATCGGTCATGGGCCCTGTGTCACACCTGTTTGCCCATTGACGCCAACATTAACCAAAGTTGCCCAGCAACATTGCTCAATAAGCTGCCCCGTGTATCTTCAACCTTAGAGTCCCTCTTATTTAGAATCAAGTTATGCGTTGTCAATATGTGCTGGTTTGTTGTGCAGAGCACTGACAACTGCCAATTTGGTGGTTCTTTGGAAACATCATTTTTGCAAATGTCATGTCAATCCTTGAGCATACATGAAAAGCACAAAATTAACAAATTTAACTGACAAACAAACTTAAAATACAAACCATCCAAGTTGTCTGCACTTTCAATCTTAGAGTCATTCTGTTTCTCACCCTCTTCAGAGGATTCTTCTGGGACTCCCTCTAAAGCATTACCAAGCACTGTATTCTCCATCCTAAAGTGGTATTAAAAACAACAGAAGTTAGTTAAACTGATACGTTTCGTTTTATAAAAATGTAATGCACCAAGTTCTAATTAATCCACATACCTGGCAAGCTCCAGAAGGGCTTTCCCACACAAGAAAAAAGCTTCACCACATTCATCAGCAGTGTCTCCATACCTTTCAGCTCTTAAGGGGGGAAATGGGTTACACAAATATTATGCTCTATATTGACAATACAAAAAAAAATAAAGTGTACCCATTCAAACAACGGCAGGTACCACAAATTTCCTTTACATAATACATATGCATTACAATATTCCTTCACGACTCACAGCATGGCACAAGCCTCCTGGAACACACTGACTGCAGACACAACATCACCCATCACCAAGTGCCGGTTGCCTGTGCCAATCAGCTTCTTTGCTTCCTCAGAAACATCGACGGAGCTGCAAAAGTAAACGACAATGAGAGTAACGAAACAACTCGTTTTAGGGAAATGAGCGGTTTTAATAAAACGGTCCAGATACCACCTCACCTGTCTGCAGCGCGCGACGAGCAAGGTTTCTCTTCCATACTGCAAAGACAAACAATACAGAAAAAATAGTCATACATTAAAAAGCCTTGCTTCGTCTGAAGAATACATACAATAAGAGCAACATTTCACTAAAGTTTGCTTCAGAGGTTCACTGCGAAGGACCAAAGTTAGCACGATGCTACTATAACTGTTATTTCTTGACAGAGTGTGCCAACATTACACGCGTTTATAGCTAACATCACAGTTTAATGTTAGTATAATACCCAAAGTGGGCAATTTAAAGCGATATTTGTGTTGTTACCGCCACCTTTTAAACTCAACGCTTCAGCGCGTGTGCAGTCATTTCAATGCAGCGCCAAGCTCACCGACGCGTCATTCATGACTGCGTGTCAACAGGGCGGGAATTACCTCATTTAGGATACTTAAATAAGCTAGCCGTTCATTTCAACCCCTCTCCCGCCAAATGAGAGCAGCCAAACACTTCAACGGGAATCAACGGTGATACCATCCCGTCGCGTGCGACGATGTCCGGGCGCGGGAGAAAAGCGAATAGAAGCACGAGGGCGACACATTTTCTCTGACAAGGACGGAGCTGCTGCAGCTTTGTCATCAAACGAAACCAGCCAAAACCTCTCACTCTGACTTCCTTTAACTTCTGCTTACTTCCCAGGGAGCGCACTTAATTTAAAAATGGCATTTTACCTTTCGGCGGCAGCTGCTGTTTCCTCGGGCATTTTAATGCGTTAACTAAGCTGTAGTGTGCTGTCGGATGATGTGAGTACAGATGGCAGGTTTGTGAAGCTGTTCTGAGTTAATCTTTGTTGGCGCCTTTAAATACGGATACAAGCCGTACTTCCGCTGAACTACGACCCTGTCACAAAAACGCGGGAGAATAAATTTAAAGGGCAAGTAACCATATTACGCTTCTGCTAAAGCCATATGAACTATAAGACTGTAATATGTCTAACTGGACAAGATTAATTAGAAAATCTATTTTATCTAGATTTTGTGAGACTCATAAAAATATCATACATTTTTTAAAAATATTATTTGTATGAAATAATATTTTATAAAATTAAAATAGACCTTATTCAGTTTCTTATTTACATGTTCCTGGTGTTACTGTGAATAAAATATAATAAATTATAGTATATATTCTATAATAAAACTAATAATAATTATAATAGTTATTATTATTATACAACAACTTTCCTCATTACCTTTCCAAGAGGGAGGGTAGTAGAAATAGTTGAACATTCAGGCATTTTCAAATATTTTGCCAATATATTTAAAATTATATATATATTTATCATTAGGATAATTAGAGTCTGATTAACTGATGTCAAAATAACCTTAAGGGCCTTAAAAACATGCTTTATTTTTCAAAATGTAAATTTGTTCTTTTAAAAGTGATAATCCAGACATATTCTTGACAAGCTTCATAAAATTCACCCTTAAACATTGAGAATACATTAAAAATCAGCCCTTGTTCATCAAGTTTCATTCCACACGGGGAAAAAAAGTAAGCACACATTTCAATATGTAACAAAAAGGTTTTATTATGTTTAGAAGTATACAGAGTAGTGAATAGGCATTGGTTCCAAGGCACAGAATCACACAGAAGTGTGCATTAATAGGGGTCATTAAAAGGGTAGTGAGGATGTGCTGCATCCCGGGGGACAGACTTGCCATCAACCTACAAAAATAGATGCAACAGCATATGTAATAGCAAACTACTTTTGGAATGCATTTGATTTGCAAAGTCTTAACACTCAGCACACTTAAAAACAGCAGCTTCAACATTATATTTTGTTTTAAAGTAACCTCTTTGTTAAAGGCCATGTAAAATTGAGTGTTTTGTTGTATGATGTGGCTTACAGTAATGGTTGGCACAATGTAACGCCAGCCTCTGTGCACTGCTGTCACTTGATTCATTTCCTCAGGTTCAAGTGTGAAATCAAACACCTGTAAATGAGCAGAGCAAATGTATTGCATAGTTACAATACAGTCATAAACACTCTAGAACAAAAAGAATAACAAAAAAAAAACATGCAGAAACCTGGATATTCTCTTTGATCCGAGACTCTGTAATGCTCTTTGGGATAGTCACTACTCCTCGTTGAGTTTGCCACCTGCCGAAAAATACCATTGAAGAAATACTATGTAATAATACGTGAGGAAACACCACGAACTAGTGCAAAAGCCTGAATTTACCTGATGATAATTTGTGCAGGAGTCTTGTTGTATTTCTTGGCTAGTGCAGCAATGGCTGGTTCCTCCAACAGCACAGGCTCCTCTGGATGCTTCCAGGCTCGGTCAGGAGATCCTAGCGGACTGTAGGCGGTCATCACCAAACTCCGATCCCGGCAGTGAGCCAACAGCTCAACCTGTGCAAGGTATGGATGGGACTCCACCTGCAAAACACTATTGTTACTTTACAAACTGATATAATGGACCAAATAAATTATAACATCAAATTTTTTTCTGACCTGCAAAACAGTTGGTTTGATGCTTGCAACTGATGAATTTCTTTGTTCTCCTCAACATAAAAGAAGATATTTTGAAGAATATTCGTAAACACCAGAAAGTTTCTGGTCCCTGTTGACTCCATTAGTGTTTTTTCTTTCTTTCTCCATACTATGGAAGTCATGGGGGCACCGACAGTGTTTGGTTACCAGTATTGTTCCAAATATATACGTTTGCATTCAACAGCAGAATTAAACTCATTCAGGTTTAGAACAACAACAATGTAACTTAAATTTTTGGGTGAACATGGTTCCACGTCATCTGGGTGGTGTTTTGTGTTCCACAGTTTGGAGGTCACAAATACATCCTCCCGCCTTATGCCCTGAAAGAAGACAACAGTTGTAAAGCACACATGCATTATATATTTCAGTGTGTGGGTGTGTGTTTCATTTTTGTAATCTACTTGGTTGACCTACTTTTTCAGGTCCCATCATTTCCTGAAATGCTTCACCGATCTCTGGCTCATTCCCATAAATGGGAGCACAGTCAATGTGCCGATAGCCAGATTGCAGTGCCCAAATAACTGCTTGTTTTACCTGCAATTGATAACATATTTATACAAAATGCTTTTGGAGTTCTACACACATACACAATAATTAAAGCAAAAGATTATTGCAGAACTTATTGGATAATATACTGAAGAACTGTATATCCTAGTAAACCTGCTGTCATTCTCAATACAGCATATTCAGATTCAAATTCGGTCATAATTACAGTTGATGCACAGTAAACTTACCTGTCCTGGTTCAACAAGAATTATGAAACTTTGATTGGATAAAAATCCTATCTTAAGCTATATCATTATTGTGACGGGGGGCCCTGCAGTAAGTCTTAATGTGGCCCTGTGTGTGGGTATGTGTTTCATGTTTGTAATCTACTTGGTTGACCTACTTTTTCAGGTCCCATCATTTCCTGAAATGCTTCACCGATCTCTGGCTCATTCCCATAAATGGGAGCACAGTCAATGTGCCGATAGCCAGATTGCAGTGCCCAAATAACTGCTTGTTTTACCTGCAATTGATAACATATTTATACAAAATGCTTTTGGAGTTCTACACACATACACAATAATTAAAGCAAAAGATTATTGCAGAACTTATTGGATAATATACTGAAGAACTGTATATCCTAGTAAACCTGCTGTCATTCTCAATACAGCATATTCAGATTCAAATTCGGTCATAATTACAGTTGATGCACAGTAAACTTACCTGTCCTGGTTCACTCTTCCACGTCCCAAGTCCCACAAGGGGCATCTTTCGTCCAGTGCTGAGAACAGCAAAGTCATTCATACTCATCCTGTGTGCCTTCAGAGAAAAGAAAACAAAGAACACCATTTGAACAGTGTTCATACATGGAATAGATTTCAGGATATTAAATCTATAATTTAATCCCTGCTCTAGTAAATCAATCGAAACCCTAAACACTCACAGAAAGGTTGCAGGAGGCGCAGTGAATGCAAACTGTTCAGTGCTCAAATTTAGGAGCAGAATGAAAGGAAGTGTAACCTGCTGACTTATCAGCTGACTTCCACAGCAGCTCAAGCAGGATGTACAGTAAATATTGTAAAACATCCTGGACTGCATAACCTTTGGTTTAGCAAACATTATCAAATTAATCATTAAATTAATTTGACAAACACAGTCCTTGTATTTTAATATAAAGGGAATTTAAATAATTGTCGAAATCACATAAATTTAACCTCCAGATCGGTTTGCTCTTGTCTAGTTAGTGCTGTGAATAACACAGACAGTTGGATAACATAGCATTCGACAATAAAACTTCTGAAAATGAATGACAAGACGCAGAGCGCGTTGAATACGCTGCTTTTCTCCCTGAAATATCAGGTCAACTAGTGTCCCATGTGGCGCATCATAACAAGGAATATTTTGCCTAGGTCAGGGATCGTTTTTATATTATTGGTTCATATATATATATATGATGCAATATTTTGAATTTGTATATATAAGTATATATATACTTACAGTGTATTAATAGTTTAAGGAACTTCTCCGCTATACACCTATCCAGGTTGATTAAAAACTATTTTAATATTTTCTCATAACGTTGACGAATTTACTTCCTGTTCGCTGTTCTCTAAAAACATCCGTCAAAATAAAAGTCTCCATAACATTACAACAATTTCCTCACCGTCATACTCTTTTTTTTTTCTAGTTCAAGTGACGAGGATAAAAAATTTAAATGAAGATTTGATCTTCGTTATTTGCCAAATTACAAAAATACCTAAACCCCATGTAATTTTAGTCACTGATCACACGAAAATATTACGATCAATCTGAAACTCATTCAAGTGTCCCTTAATCTATATACAGGTGCATCTCAATAAATTAGAATGTCGTGGAAAAGTTCATTTAAGTAATTCAACTCAATTAATCACAAATTGTGAAACTCGTGTATTAAATAAATTCAATGCACACAGACTGAAGTAGTTTAAGTCTTTGGTTCTTTTAATTGTGATGATTTTGGGTCACATTTAACAAAAACCCACCAAATCACTATCTCAACAAAGTAGAATACTTCATAAGACCAATAAAAAATTTTTTTTTAGTGAATTGTTGGCCTTCTGGAAAGTATATTCATTTACTGTATACTGTATATTCGTGTACTCAATACTTGGTAGGGGCTCCTTTTGCTTTAATTACTAAACTTATTGGATAATATACTGAACAACTGTATATCCTAGTAAACCTGCTGTCATTCTCAATACAGCATATTCAGATTCAAATTCGGTCATAATTACAGTTGGGATGATGCACAGTAAACTTACCTGTCCTGGTTCACTCTTCCACGTCCCAAGTCCCACAAGGGGCATCTTTCGTCCAGTGCTGAGAACAGCAAAGTCATTCATACTCATCCTGTGTGCCTTCAGAGAAAAGAAAACAAAGAACACCATTTGAACAGTGTTCATACATGGAATAGACTTCAGGATATTAAATCTATAATTTAATCCCTGCTCTAGTAAATCAATCGAAACCCTAAACACTCACAGAAAGGTTGCAGGAGGCGCAGTGAATGCAAACTGTTGAAACAGGTTGAAACTGGTTACACTTCCTTTCTGCTGACTTATCAGCTGACTTCCACAGCAGCTCAAGCAGGATGTACAGTAAATATTGTAAAACATCCTGGACTGCATAACCTTTGGTTTAGCAAACATTATAAAATTAATAATTAAATTAATTTGAAAAACACAGTCCTTGTATTTTAATATAAAGGGAATTTAAATCATTGTCGAAATCACATAAATTTAACCTCCAGATCGGTTTGCTCTTGTCTAGTTAGTGCTGTGAATAACACAGACAGTTGGATAACATAGCATTCGACAATAAAACTTGTGAGAATGAATGACAAGACGCAGAGCGCGTTGAATACGCTGCTTTTCTCCCTGAAATATCAGGTCAACTAGTGTCCCATGTGGCGCATCATAACAAGGAATATTTTTATATTATTTGTTCTTATATATATATACTTACAGTGTATTGACAGTTTAAGGAATTTCTCCGCTATACAATTATCCAGGTTGATTAAAAATTTTAATATTTTCTCATAACGTTGACGAATTTACTTCCTGTTCGCTGTTCTCTAAAAACATCCGTCAAAATAAAAGTCTCCATAACATTACAACAATTTCCTCACCGTCATACTTTTTTTTTTCTAGTTCAAGTGACGGATAAAAAATAAAATGAAGATTTGATCTCCGTTATTTGCCAAATTACAAAAATACCTAAACCCCATGTCATTTTAGTCACTGATCACACGAAAATATTACGATCAATCTGAAACTCATTCAAGTGTCCCTTAATCTATATACAGGTGCATCTCAATAAATTAGAATGTCGTGGAAAAGTTCATTTCAGTAATTCAACTCAATTAATCACTTCATATAATTCTAAAAATGTGTGTGAGTGACATGACATGTGGTCAAGTTTGGTGACCCATACTTGGAATTAGTGCTCTGCACTTAACCCATCCAAAGTGCACACACACAGCAGTGAACACACACACCCGGAGCAGTGGGCAGCCAATGTCCACCTTTTGCTGTGGAATCTTTAATGATTTTTAAAGTAAATGTAGAAATAACTTTATTTGAAGATGAACATTCACCGAACTGCAGCAACCATACTTTATCATCAATACATAAATTAAGAAAAATCATTTAAAAATGCAACAGGCTTTTTGAGGAATGTTTATCACTCAATCACCATTGCATTGCACTGCACTATGTTTTGACCCCCACGATTAAAATGTTATTCTCCTATATTAAGCTTTTTTCATTATTATTATTTTAAGGTTAAATAAACAGTTCCATTTGAAATGAATACACACATTCGAAGTTATTCCTTTCTAATACAGCATCAAGTCACATTACTAATGCTGCCAACAGTAAACAATGAACAGCAGCAGGCCAGCTTTAAAATATAATTAAATACAATGAGGTAATCAGTAAGTAGACTTGCTTCGGTCATTTCAGTGAGTAAGGTAAATAACTAGCGTGGTTTTCAATGCCACATTAACAATGACAGTATGTAGTCCAGCACACTTCTCTCACCTGTAAGTCCAAAACATTCCTCTTTCCAGTACTTGGACTCATAAATACGTGTTCGTATAATCTTCTCGACAAGATACTGAGGATTTGTTCCATGTATACTATTGGCATCTTTTACCGTTCTATTAGCCATGGCTCAAAATTGTAAATGAACGAACGGATAATCGGAACGCTAATATGCCATGGAGCTATATCGAATGACTTCCGGGGAAAAGCTCGCGTCACATCCGTAAGGTCAAGCGGTATTTTGCTGTCCAATCAAAAATACTTCCTACGTCATCCGCGCGCGAAAGAGTCGTGCGAGTTGTGTCATTGTGCTCTCTAACTACTGTGCTGTAAGATGCGTTCAACTTCATATATACATTCATGTAGATTTCTGAGCGTTTAAGTGAGACGGAATACTGTTGCTTATTTATTTGTTTAATAAGGAGATTTGATACGGTTGCAGATATTATCGGCTGGTGAGTAAGAAAGAAAGGTGCTGGGGATTTAAAGTTGCGTACATAGTGAATACCTTATATAGAGAAGACGTGGTTGTTTTCTTAATTTATTCTTACATCTCCAATAATAAAAGTTATGTTCTTAATGACAGGTATTTAAAGGTTAATATATCACTTTAAGTTATTGCATTTCATATAATAATAATAATAATAAAAGTTCCAAATTCTACAGTTTTGTATTTGTTTAAAATCATTTTTCTGTAACTTTTTTTTTTCCTGTTTGCCATTTTTACTTTTACTTTTCATTATTAAGTACATAATCGATGCTGTACTTTACAGACCTCATATCAGACCTGCACCATGAGCCGCTACATCACAAGACTGAGAATGAGAAGAACCTACAAATGGAATGGGAGACCAATTGTTGAAGACAGGAAGCTGAAAAGGCAATACTATGAGTAAGTGTGCGTACCACATTCAGATCAAATCACAAGACACGAGTGATTTGAACAAGTATAACTTGTAATTTGATTTATGAGGCTTTGTGAGTGAGAGCAGTCTCTATAAAATGTCTGCTTTAAAAAAAAAAATCCTTATCCAGTAGTCATGGAAATTCAAATGGTTAAAAGATGTTTTAACCCAGATTTGAACCGCAATAATGCTTTGATTGATCCTCACAGATCCATGTCCATTTCTGTGGAGGGAAAGACGGAAGATGCAACTGTGTCTTTAGGCCAGTACATTTTGATTGAGGGTGATGACGATGACAATCCCTTTGTGGCACAACTTCGCAAACTATACACTGATGGTAGGAATATGCCCTGTTTTTAAGCAAAATGTGTATATTTGAAATGTGTAGTACTTTTACTCGTTTATAAATCACTCAATGGCCTAGGTCCTAAATACATTGCAGATATGCTCACTGAATATAAACCTAACAGACCACTCTGATTATTAGGATCGAGTCAGTTAGAAATACCAAGGGTTGACACAAAACAAGGGGAGTCAGCTTTTAGTTATTATGCCGCCCGCAGTTGGAATCAGCTTCCAGAAGAGATCAGGGGTCTCATTTATAAAACTCTCCATAGATTTCATCCTAGAAGTGTACGTAGGCACAAAAGCTAGATTTTGCGTACGCTCAAAAGTTTTCAGATTTATAAAACCATGCGTATGCCAGAACCTGCGCAAAAATCCCTTTATAAATCCCAGTCAGGGAAAGATTGTGCGTAGGTGCATCTCCACCCCGACTCCTCCCCGAAATCACCATATATGGAGCTTACAACGCCTAGTTTTTACTATGCATAACCTCATCTGTATATAATTTCTATGCATATTCCCATCCACCTGACACCATGTTTAACACCGTCAAAGGTACAAGACATTAAGGAAATATGAGATAAGGAATATAAATGCCATTTGTGCCATGCACATACATTTTTATTGCTAAAAATCATCCGGTATCCGTGTTATGTTTTAGAATAAATATATCAAAATATCCATTAAAACGCTTTAGTTCTCAGAAAAATAATTTAGAATAGAGTTATCTCATTCATTTCTACTGGCCCACTGGCCCATCCATTGTTAAAAAAGGTGCTGGGGATTTAAAGTTGCGTACATAGTGAATACCTTATATAGAGAAGACGTGGTTGTTTTCTTAATTTATTCTTACATCTCCAATAATAAAAGTTATGTTCTTAATGACAGGTATTTAAAGGTTAATATATCACTTTAAGTTATTGCATTTCATATAATAATAATAATAATAAAAGTTCCAAATTCTACAGTTTTGTATTTGTTTAAAATCATTTTTCTGTAACTTTTTTTTTTCCTGTTTGCCATTTTTACTTTTACTTTTCATTATTAAGTACATAATCGATGCTGTACTTTACAGACCTCATATCAGACCTGCACCATGAGCCGCTACATCACAAGACTGAGAATGAGAAGAACCTACAAATGGAATGGGAGACCAATTGTTGAAGACAGGAAGCTGAAAAGGCAATACTATGAGTAAGTGTGCGTACCACATTCAGATCAAATCACAAGACACGAGTGATTTGAACAAGTATAACTTGTAATTTGATTTATGAGGCTTTGTGAGTGAGAGCAGTCTCTATAAAATGTCTGCTTTAAAAAAAAAATCCTTATCCAGTAGTCATGGAAATTCAAATGGTTAAAAGATGTTTTAACCCAGATTTGAACCGCAATAATGCTTTGATTGATCCTCACAGATCCATGTCCATTTCTGTGGAGGGAAAGACGGAAGATGCAACTGTGTCTTTAGGCCAGTACATTTTGATTGAGGGTGATGACGATGACAATCCCTTTGTGGCACAACTTCGCAAACTATACACTGATGGTAGGAATATGCCCTGTTTTTAAGCAAAATGTGTATATTTGAAATGTGTAGTACTTTTACTCGTTTATAAATCACTCAATGGCCTAGGTCCTAAATACATTGCAGATATGCTCACTGAATATAAACCTAACAGACCACTCTGATTATTAGGATCGAGTCAGTTAGAAATACCAAGGGTTGACACAAAACAAGGGGAGTCAGCTTTTAGTTATTATGCCGCCCGCAGTTGGAATCAGCTTCCAGAAGAGATCAGGGGTCTCATTTATAAAACTCTCCATAGATTTCATCCTAGAAGTGTACGTAGGCACAAAAGCTAGATTTTGCGTACGCTCAAAAGTTTTCAGATTTATAAAACCATGCGTATGCCAGAACCTGCGCAAAAATCCCTTTATAAATCCCAGTCAGGGAAAGATTGTGCGTAGGTGCATCTCCACCCCGACTCCTCCCCGAAATCACCATATATGGAGCTTACAACGCCTAGTTTTTACTATGCATAACCTCATCTGTATATCATTTCTATGCATATTCCCATCCACCTGACACCATGTTTAACACCGTCAAAGGTACAAGACATTAAGGAAATATGAGATAAGGAATATAAATGCCATTTGTGCCATGCACATACATTTTTATTGCTAAAAATCATCCGGTATCCGTGTTATGTTTTAGAATAAATATATCAAAATATCCATTAAAACGCTTTAGTTCTCAGAAAAATAATTTAGAATAGAGTTATCTCATTCATTTCTACTGGCCCAATAATATTTCCATTGTTAAAAAAGTCTAATTAAATGAATGCACTTTTAGCTATTTTTAGTGGAAAAAATATAGGCATGTGTTTATAGCAATGTAAATACAATTATCTGACTCTGCGCGTCATTGACAAATTATTTTAAAAAGGAAACGTGCAAATCTTACTGTTTTCTTCAAGTTGTGTATCCTTCAAATACAGTGGTATTTTTCATAATGTTGTGGAGATGCCTTCACCCGACATCAACACTTCCGTGCAGCTGTGGTTGTACAGTAAGCTTATCATTGGTCCTATTCAAACCGGACAATAGACCATTCCACCGAATCCAGCAGTGTCCGCCACAATTTTGAAGAAAGTGCGCATCATTGATCATTGTTCTCGCTAAAAATATTTTCTCATAACATGAGATGTGCAGTTTACTTTAAAGATAAATTATTGTGCACCTATAGCACTCCTCGCTGTCATTGAAACATAACATACCACAGGAAAAGTAATCAAGCGCATCCACTACAAAAAAGGATATTTCTAAATTCATATAATTTAGGTTTAACTTCTGCGTTATGACTTTATGTAATTTCAGTGCTTATCTCCATTAAAGGGTTAGTTCACCCAAAAATGAAAATTAGGCTGCGTTTTACTCACCCCCGAGGCATCCTAGGTGTATATGACTTTCTTCTTTCAGACGAATCCAGTCGGAGTTATATAAAAAATTGTCTTTGATCTTTCAAGCTGTTTAATGCCACTCAGCGGGTGTTGCATTGCTTCAGTCCAAAATAACTTAAATAAAATTCGCCCACCCATAAAAAAAGTGTCTCACACGGCTCCGGGGGGTGAACAAAGGCCTTCTGTAGCGAATCGATGCATTTTTGTACGAAAAATATTCATATTCAAAACGTAATAATCACTTTAATGCTTGCGCTCACTGTTGTAAAGGGAAGCAGCTCCAGGCTGATGACCTCTGAGGTCAGTGCTGCGCATGCACCGGTGAGTCTCGTGAAAACCAACATTTGTTTACAGGATCAAAGGAAGCAAAGTTTCCTTACTTTAACAAAGGAAAACCAGTCTCCTCTTAGCTTATATCGAAATCCTCCGATGATTCTTTACAAATCCTCGTTTTGTACTTCTAATTAGTGACCGTTGTTTTGTTTTGATCTCTCCCCTGCGCTTCCGTGTTCGTCACTTCTGAGCGGCAGATGCGCAACGCCAACCTCATACGTCATCTGCCCGGAACTGCTTCCGTTTACAACAGTGAGCGCAAGCTACATTAAAGTGATTATTACGTTTTGAATATGGATATTTTTCTTACAAAAATGCATCGATTCGCTACAGAAGGCCTTTGTTCACCCCCCGGAGCCGTGTGAGACACTTTTATTTATGGGTGGGTGATTTTATTTAAGTTATTTTGGACTGAAGCAATGCAACACCCGCTGAGTGGCATTAAACAGCTTGAAAGATCAAAGACCATTTTTAATATAACTCCGACTGGATTCGTCTGAAAGAAGAAGGTCATATACACCTAGGATGCCTCGGGGGTGAGTAAAAAGCAGCCTTATTTTCATTTTTGGGTGAACTAACCCTTTAATGAGAGTGGAATATTTAATGTAAATGTATATGATGAGGAAATGAAAACAGTTTAAAATCATTGTTTACTTCCTTACTTTTCTTTCTCCAGGAATGCGCATGGGTCAGAGTTTGCGTGCAGGTGCGCAAATATTCCCGTCAAGTTTGTTTTTTATAATCACACCTTTTGCGTAGGAAGTGGCGTACGCCTCTTTCAGGTTTTGTGCGTACGCAACGGTTATAAATGAGGCCCCAGATGTGCATTACTTTTCTTTCTCCAGGAATGCGCATGGGTCAGAGTTTGCGTGCAGGTGCGCAAATATTCCCGTCAAGTTTGTTTTTTATAATCACACCTTTTGCGTAGGAAGTGGCGTACGCCTCTTTCAGAGCAGGTTTTGTGCGTACGCAACGGTTATAAATGAGGCCCCAGATGTGCTAAAACATTAGCCACATTTAAATCCAGACTCAAAACTCATCTGTTTAGCTGAGCATTTATTGAATGAGCACTGTGCTACGTCCGACTCTGAACTGATTGCACTGTATTTTATGTATAATAATTTCTATTTTTAACTGTTTTAAATTGATTTTAAATCAATTTTTAAATCATTTTAAAAGTTTTTAAATTCCTTGTTGTGATAATTTTTTTAAATAATTATTTTTTCCCTTTATGTAAAGCACTTTAAATTACCATTGTGTATGAAATGTGCTATATAAATAAACTTGCCTTGCCTATTTGCATGCATTCTTGGTTTATGTAGTTGGTTTATGTAACATTTGTACCCAGATTCAGGAAAGAAAAAGACCGCAGTAGTGCAGTGGTTTGTGCGGATGTGTGAAGTTCCTCATAATAAACGCAAGCTCTTGGGCAGAGACCCCCATCCACAAGAGATATTTTTCTACCAGGACCGCTCTTGTGATAATGAGGTGGATGGAGAGACCATTCTTGGAGCAGTACAGGTAAGCTAGCATGGTATGGTTGTAGGATTTAAATTATAAAGGGATTTCTCATATTTGTACATGATGAATGTGCATCACACTATGATCAAGAAATGTTTGTGTAGTTGATTCAAATTATTTATTCTATTTTTTAAAATGTAAAAAATGTAATTCTATTTGATAAAAGTGTTATGTA